AAAAAAAAAATMAAGTTGGAAACCTCTTCATATGCTTTTGAGACAAATGGCTGGAATGAGTGTTTTCAGATTTTATTTCTTTTTATGAGAAACGGTATCTTTTTTGACACTGTATGCTCTAAAAAGAGTTTCATTGTGTTTTGTTGTATTTTCATGGTGTTTCTCTGGTGGTTAAGGTGTAAATGCGTGTGGCAAAGGCCTCRCTTTGGTTTTTTGTGACCAAGCAGTTCTGGCACAGTGGAGAAACTGAGGCTGGGGCAGAGCAGTGATGTGTCTGGGTACCTGAACTCACCAATTTTAGGCTCCAGGTGTGGGCAGGACAGAAGCTGAGTGTGGTTCTCATTTAAACCCGGGCCCTTTCATGACTCCACAGATCCTTGCACAGTCCAAAGGGCTCTGGGACAGCTCAGAACTGTGCACAGTCTGTGTTTACAACTACTCACAGAGTGTTAAATCTTTACAATGAGTTGTGCGGTTTGTACTAGCAGAATTTTTTTTTTTTTTGAGTGCGTGAATGACTTTTGAGTTGCAGGATTTTTTTCTCTGTACCAGGCAAGACAATGACAGTAAAAAGGCATTTCAGTGGATTTGTGAGGATTTTGTTTCATACTTAAGGCCATATGTCTTGTGGCAGTTGCATGATATCAAAAAGAAGGACAGGATTTCCATACCAAAAAGCGGCTGAGTGATGCATGGAAAGGAAAAGCACGAGAACAGGGAATTTAATTTACTTGTTAGTAAAACAAAATACTTTCCATTATTGAATTGGAGCAGCCAAATTGAAAATGCAGCGGAGACAAAAAAAATGTCTCATTTCCTTTTGCTCTCAGTCATGTCAGGAGGATGTTTCTGTTTGGTGTTCCATTAAGGTTTTGGATCAAAAGGCTTTTAAATGTCAGGTGAGGAGCTGTCTCCACAATCCTGGCAGTCGGATTTCTGGGATGGCTGGGGGAATGTGGGGAAACTGGATYTCATCTTGTCACTGTTTTTCACCTCTGGCCTGAAGGAGCCCCAGCTCTTGGGTACAAAACCATGGTTCAGCCTGGAGAAGAGAAGCTTTGGGGTGACCTAGTTGTGGCCTGCCAGGAACTGAAGGAGCWGAAGAGGAAAGCTGGAGAGAGACTATTTTAAAAGGCCTGCAGTGACAGGACAAGAGGGAGTGGTTTCAAACTCAAAGAGTGGGGTTAGATTGGATATTAGGGAAAAAATTTTTTGGTGGGAGGGTGGGAGGCCCTGGCAGAGGGTATCAGAGAGGCTGAGGCTGCCCCTGGATCCAAGGCCAGGCTGGACAGGAATAGTGGAAGATGTCCCTGCCCATGGCAGGGTTGGCACTGGATGATATTTAAGGTTCCCTCCAGCCCAAACCATCCTGGGATTCTGTGCTGATCCTGTGATTCATTCCCTGGCCGAGCCTTTCACATGAACCCCAGACATGGCAGTGGTGTTTGTTCCCATCATGTGGATCTCTGCCTTTCCTTTTCATCCCCAGCATTGTGCAGGATTTGGAGGGGATGCTTTTTGATCCCTTGTCCCTGGAGTGCTTTGGTGAGAAGCTTCTTTTCCCTTCAGGCCCAAGGAGCCTCTGTGCTGCCTCTTTCAATCTGGCTCTGGGGCTTGGAATGTAAAGCAGGTGCAATAGAAATAATCTCCCTGCTCCCACTGTCATTAGATCTGCGTGGTATAAATCATCTGACATGTTCAATGCTCTTTGTATTTATCAATCATCTTCCTTGGTGGGATTGAGTTGGGAATTGCCTTAAACCAGGAAAACCCAGCTTGCCTCTGTGCCAGATGGTATTAGGAATATAATAGGGTAGCTCAGGCCTGGATTTTTCTCCATATTAGCTTTACATATTTGCATTTTGCATATGTAGAGCTGCCTAAATCTGTGTTGCTTTGGTATCCCTTCAGTTTAAGGTGGTAGTGGTTTGACAGCTGTCAGACATTTCCCTTGTCCAGGTTGCACTTGTTTCATCCTTGACAYGTTTTATATCTCTCGTTTGTGTTGATGGTGTCATCATTAGCATTAAATATATAAATCAGGGTGGATGAATGGCCATTTCTAGTGCTGCTCTGTAGCCAGCATGAGAAACGATGTTTTTATTAAGTCCCCTCCCTATTTTTTTTTCCCTTCTTTTATTTTTGTTCTCTTTCCCAGGAAAGTTGAATGGATTTTAGTGTCTGGCACTGCTGAAGCACAGTCAGGCCAGTTCATATCTGCTGTGTCTGGGCTCATTCTCTCTGTGAGCCAAACCTTAACCCAGTTAATTTTGGTAATGGCCATGCTGGGATTCTGTTATCAGAATCGTTTTCTGGTGTCTTCTCCTTCAAGTGCCTTCAGTCTGGAGGGAAGTGAGTGCCTGGGGGAGTGAGGGAATACCAGGCATTAGAAAAGGCAGAACAGATGTTAATCCTTCTGAGAGTGTAATGGCTGTTCAGAGTTCCTGGAGGAGCTTCTGGCCCACCCTGCTCCCCATCAGCGTTTGGGGGAGCACCTCAAGGGTGCAGACAGACAAAAAATGATCTCCTCACTCTGTTGGACTCGTATCAAAACACTTGAGGCTTAGAAACAAATCAGCAAAACATTGGCCAAGATAGCTGTGGTGCCTTGCATGGCTTCTAATGGTTTGAGAGAGTTAAACACTGGCTTTAACTTCCCCTTCTTTCTCCCAGGAAGTTCTTCCACTTAGTTTTACTTTATCAGTTGTTTTTTTTTTTTTCCCCCAAGTCCTGGTACCCACTGGACCGGGTCAAATTCTTCATCTCCAGCCTTCTTGCTCTGCTCCTTTATGTTTGTAAACATTTACACCCTCTTAATTTAATCCTTTCTTAGCAATGCTCTATTTGTTTAGAGGCCTCCTAAGGTGGCATTTATCTTGCTGAGCTTAGGAAGTCTTTGAGGTAGACATCCCTGAGCTGCTCGTCTGGCTTGACTTGATCGTTAGGGGAAGGAAATCTGCACATCGAGGGGACCTTTCTTCTCCTAAAGAGATCYAAAATCAGTCAGGTGACTGAGCTTCATCCAGCTCTGCATTTAGGTAAGATTTGCTGTATCTTTTAGCCTGAAAAAATCTATTTTTGGCTACTCAGTGGTGCTCGGTTGGATTTTTGTCGCTGGATGCTGTTTTGGGCTGGTTTTAGTGGGGGATTTTGGACTTTGGGCCCATCTGTGGTAGCGGGCAGCTGGGCAGGGTTTGTTGGAGCACTTTTCCTGTTCCTGCTGCAGCCTGGCCGCACTCCCTGCACTCCCAGCTCTCCTGGCCGGACACTGGCCAGCTCTGGGCGTTGCTCTGTGGCCAGCCACACATGGCCGAGCGAGATAAGGCCTTTATTCTTCCCAAGGCCACGCTGGGGCCGGGCTGCACTTCGGCCATTTCCAGCCTGGGCTTGGCCACCGCCGGCCGGCCCGAGCTCGGCCGTATCCTGTTGTGACACTAAAGAAACATTTGTGTGCCATTAATTTTTTTTTTTCACTCCGAGTTAACTGTATTTTTCTTCCTGTCGCCGTTCCAAACACACTTCAGMGTTGAGCAATTGCACGGCTGCAGGACTTGCTTTGTGTTTCTTTCTGTTTATTAAAGGCCAATAAAAGAAAGGAGGCTCTCGCTTTTGCAGGACCTCGCTCAGGAGCTGGTGACTCTTCTCTGCAGTTGCTTGCAAATGAGTTTTATTTATAACCGTGCTGTAGTTTCTGTTGCTATGATTGGAAAACAGCAGAGGTAGAATTTACACATAATTACCCTTGAGAAGTTTTAATTGGTGATTTGCTCCTGACTGGGTATTAAAATAGACTCTAATTGTTTCTTATCTGCTTTAGATGCACTTTCCCTGTCTTTGGCTGTTTGGAAGTCCTTGTAGTAACTCTGGGAATTCTTTGACATGTATGGTGGGGGAAAAGGGTTTTATTTCTTCCAGCAGGGTAAGAACTGCACAAAAGTCACACCTTGGTGTTACAGAGTAGTTGGATGTTACTACCATGCATTTATTCAGTTATTAGAGTTTGTTAAATCCAGTATTTATGGAAAATAAAATGGGCTGCAGCATGACATCTAAGGACTAAAAAGAGTAATAGTCTCTGAGTGGTGCTTTCCATCGTTCTGCCTTCCCATGCTTGGAAATTAGCAGTGGACAGGCTCTGTGCATAAATTCGTGTTTTATTTTGCTGTTCTTGAGGCTGGCAGAAGAGAGGACTGTCTGGGCTGTTTGCTTCTGGCTTGGACACAAATGCTACCACTTCGTGTTGCATAGTTTATTAGGGCTTTTGCTGCAGACAGGAGCTGAGGTGAGCTTGATTTTCTAGTTTTGAGCAGAGCTGTGGGCGTTGTGATTATTTGGGTGGAGGCAGGAATGATATTTCATCTGTGAGCCCAATTGTATAATTCTCCCTG